ACTAAAAATGGTAGTTATATATGGCACTTCCTAAGTGCTTGAACTTAAGAGGTACAAAATAAATCTGACGAAGCACAAACTGTAATGAAATAGATGACCATATTTTCGTTTTCAAAACTGAATGACTGCTGAGGGTGAACCAAATAAAGCAAAAGTATTTAAACTCCTTTCCTTTTTGAAGATATCATTAATATCACAGGAAAAAAAAAAAATGACAATACATTTTTAAACTGAGAATATCCCCTTAAAGTATAGGGTTTCCAGTGTGCCTGACGTAAAAAGGCATAGTTTCCTATATTGATTCAGAAAGAGATGTTAAAAATGCATGGAAGATATTTTAGTGAGACAGCGTCATGGGATATTAGAAAATTATTTTCTCAAATGCTATTTAACTGTTGTGCTTCTTTACCATTGGAAACACTTGATCCCAGGTTACAATATATGGGATATAAAATTAGTTTATACTGACCAGAGGGTCTTAAAGATTGATTTGAGTTTGGGGGGTGGGCTTTATACCAGTGTTTGTGTACATATCTTTAGACTCAGACTATAAATTAATTTTGGAAAACTGTAATTATTCAGTAATTTATCGATTATTAAGATAGGTTAGAAACGATTCTTGCACATAGTGAACAGAGAACACAAGCTTATAGAGGACAAACAGATTTAGCATATTTTTGGCCTCATCTATTTTGCAGGCAATTAACAAAATAGGATGTTACATTTTTGCATATCTCTCGCTCTCCTGAAATAGAGTCGCTAACCACTTGTTAACCACACTGATTTTTTAATAGACAACGTGGTTGCTTATAGCTTCCCCACCAGAAATGTTCAGATTAAGCACACTATTAGATTGCAGCCAGAATACTCTACAAAACAGGAAGAAAGCCTTGCCTTTCTCTCTGCCTTCTTCCCTTGTTTAAGTTGATGGGATAATTCATTACAGATTTTCTCTTTCTTTGACAGAGTGCCTACCGCAGAAACGGGATGACTTTTCTCGCCTGCTAATATGGATGTGGCTGCAGCAACAGGAAAGACAGTGTTATATTAAGGTGATTTTCTTTTCCCCTCCATGGAAGGAAAAAAAAATACAAGCTCCAGTGTCTCCGTGTACCAGTGAGTGGGCTGGTTTGTTGTGACTATCTGCTGGCTGACTGTCTCTTTTTCCAGCCCCCTCAATCGTTATTCTTGTTTACTAGCTGGAACATTTAGCTAATTAATGGCAGGATGTTTGGGATAGCGTGTAGGTGGACAAGAATACAGATCAGACAATGCTGAAGTTTGCAGGGGACTTGCTGCTGTCAGCCTCTTCCTGAAATGCGATGTCGTTATTATTTAAGTGTTTGGAAGTCTGTATGTTCTCCTAGAGATGTTTTTGTGGTTTTTTTGTAAAGGAGGACGGGGCAGAAAGAGGCCAGAGATAGACTGGGTTATATAGGTTATATAAAGTTTATATGGTTTTCCTTGTGATTTTTACAAAAAGAAAAACAGTTTTCTACTATTTTCCACTGATTTCTCACAATTAATTTTTAAATGTTCAGACAGGGTAACCCTGCTTAATACAGTAAGGGACATTATAATGAGAGTAATAGTGAGTTCAGATCCAAATATATTAAAATAAAAAAAGTACTTCACCAGTTAGAGACTTGATGTTTTGCAGACCCAAGGATAGGCTAAGTGGTCAGCCCCAAATTCTCAATATTTACATCTCCTAAGGCTCGAGCCACCGCTTTTTGAAATCAAGGAAAGCCTTTGCAGTGATTTGGCACTGGGTTGGGCCCCTATTCAGAAAAATACATCCTAAAGTATTTAAATGACTGTGTCTGTCTCAGTGGTTCTAGGCAAAGGCTTAACGTGAGGTACTTGCTCAGCATTTGCTGCAGGAAGCAGATGTTGTCTCTGTTGTTGACAAAGGCAGCGTTACTATTGGATTTGGTTAGAGAAGAAATGGGCTCTTTTTTGCCTTTTTTATATTTTAGTTCACGTTGTTTGTTTTCAGATTTGTTTTTTAAATCTCAGTCCCTCCCTCTAAGCTTCTTCCCGTCCCCTGCTCCTCCAGCCTTTGCTGGCCTCGCAAACACATTCATTTCTTCCCATAAAAACTGTACAAATATAGAGCTAACCACGATGATGCTTGACCAGAGAAAAGGGCTCATGCTTCAGCCTGTCATCAGGATCTACAGGCATGTACTGCTTGTGTCCCTGTGGTACCCCCTGGGCCCCGGGGTCTGCTTCAGCTGCTCTTAGCCCAGCCTTGAAATCTAGCTTAAACCTCAAATTAAGACAGAGCACTCCAGGGATCTAGAGGAGATCAGCAAAATATTACTTTTATATAGTGCAGCCAGCCTCCTCTTTTGTGCTTAGTATGTGAGGTCTTAATTTTTACTCCCACTGTATGCTCTTGTGGTCATTTGTAAGTGGTTTTCTTGCCCTGCTTTCCTGGACCTGCTTGCAAAAACTTTAAAAATATATAGGTATTTTAAATAAACAGAAAAATGTCTCTTCTCTTTGTAGCCAAAATACTGTAAAAGTGAACTTTGTACATCAAATATTACCTTCATCAATCACTTTTTTCTTTTACCTGCTTACGCTTCTGTTTTCTGGAATTAATCTGTGTGTAAAGGACTAAAAGTAACGTGTACGACGCAGTGTATTAAATGGGGGGGAAGTTTTCTGATGTTCCATCTGTGCTTCTTGAAATATATGATTAAACTTTTCTTTTTATCATCACTCTTATTTTTGTTGGCATCCTTAATCATGGAAAATTATATGCTTGCTGTAAACATCCAGACTTTTTAAAAAGACACCAGCATTTATTGTATTTGGTTTCGATCTGCAGGGATATAGACAGAAGAAACCATTTCAGGCACTGGGTACTGGAATCAAAATTCTTTCCATAGCTGTATCTCTCCCAGATTTTACATTTTAAAATATGCATAAGCAGGAAAAATACTGGCACTTATTTTTTACTGGTCTACTTAAAGTCCCAGAGAATGAAGACTCAACATACATTTCTCTCAGAAATATGACAGATCATGTTTTTGTTGGTCTGCTGTATGTTTGTCTATCTTGAACAGTCTGACAGGCAATTATTTATAAAATCTGGGTTTGCCCAGTAAACCCATATAATAACCTTTCACTTCTCTACACAAGTCAGTGAGCTGAATTTAGAGTAAAACAAGGTAGGTTATGTCTCCCTATCTTGGACTAACCCAGTTTATTCTTATTTTGGGAAGTAATCGCTTTTTTTTCTCTCATCTTCAGAGTTTTCTCTAACTCTGTTTAAAACAAAAATGAGACCAGTAGGACTCATGCTGCATACGGAGTGTGTCTTAGCACCACTTTACGTGCTGCAGAAGCAGATGTATGTTTAAGCTGGTACTACACATTTTATCTTAAAGTTTTTTCTTTATTGTACGTATAAAAATCATTTTGAGATTCAATTAATGGCTGCATACAAATAACTTTGTGCTTGTGTAGTTTCAGTTTGCAAATCATTTTGACTCTTAGCAAGGATTTATAGTAACTGAATCAGGTTATGCTGATTATTTAACATGTTATTAGTTACCTGAGAAAGGAAACAGAACCAATTTCGGTAGGAATAAGGTTGCATAACATTTAAAGCAGTATGAGATTTTCTCACAGTTCAATGTCTGCCTTGCTGTGTGGTTCTATTACCTAGGGCTTTTTGGTTTCCTTAGTCCAGCCATCCACGAAACAGGGATAATAATTCAGCTTGAAAATTGTCAGAGGTGAGAGAGGCACAACACAAATTTCTAATTGGACTTCATCTCATTTCCTGACCTGTCCTTCCTCAGACTTTCTTCCAAGAAAATAAAACTGCTTAAAAGGCTCTTCCCTTCATCTGGAAATTGGGAGAAGCTGACAGCGCTCTGTATTTCTCTGGAGGCACTCAGGACTTTGCAGAATTTGCCCCCCCTCCCCGGTTTTTCACTTCTCTTTGTCAAGTGAAGATCTCACTGGGGGGGGGGAAGTGTTTTCTGGCACTTCTTGAATTTAGATGAACCTTAGCGTTGTATTAACGTTCTGCCATCAGCCGTGTGTAGATCTCATAAAATGTTTTATAGCTTCCCGTCTAGCTCATACAGAATGTTTCATAGTACATAAACACTTCTACTAATAATTTAAGAATAAATAGATAGTGACATTAGTCACAAGTCTAACCTCTAGTTGAAACTTACACAGTTGTAGGGGATTTTTTTTTGCCTAAGTGAATCATCTTGCTAGGCTTTTTATACCTCTACTATATATCTACGCTGAGCGGCGGTGCAGCTAGGGAAACGCGGTGGTGGCATGCATTAAATCCAGGGCTTTATTCGGAGGGCGCAGAGCCAGCGCAAAGCAACGGAGCCATCCCTGAAGGAATTGAATGTAAATTTGATGGTTTAAATAAGGCCAGATGCCTTAAAAAATTATTTTGAAAGCTGTATCTTTAATGTAGCTCTTAACATTTCTCTTTTCTGCTTAGGATAATGACGTTGTCTTTGCAAAATAAGACGAAAAAATAGCTCTCATCTATTGTGGGGAGACAAAAATCAGATTGACTTCTATAAATCACTGAAATGTTGGCAACTGAATCAAACTTTTGGAAGGCAGATGACTGCAAATTTGAAGGAAACCTTCATATTTTACTGTTAAGAGCCTTTTAACTGTCTACAGAGCACTCTGAGACACTACATTAATAGCCATTCTCAGTAATCAAGCTCCACTATACTTATATACTATTTTTCCTAAACAAGATAAATTAGTAGTGGATGAGAGCTGAAAAGATAAATAACAAAAATCAAGAACTAAAATTATAATAATACAGTTTCATTTTACATTTTATAGCTCTCTTCTGTATTTGTGATTGATAATTCATCTTAATTCCTATCAGACAGAAATACTGGCACAAGAATCTTATACCAAGATTCTGGTAAATCTGTGTATTTCTGGACTAGTCTTCATCCAGATGCTTTGCAGATTTTCTTACTGATTTTGTGGATGTGATCTGTCAATCTTTGGTACTTGTATGACTTTGATTACTGTAATATCTGAGTGCCTCACAGTCTTCCATGTATTTATGCCTGCAGCACCACTTTGAAATAATAATGTGGTATTGTCTCCATTTCTTCTGAGGCACAGAAAGGCTAAATGACTGGCCTCATGTTGGGAAACCTGGGTTTCCCAAATCCATACTGGTGCTCTCAGCTCTGAGTCATCTTCCCTCTGCAATGAAAATGATAGGTGTATTGGGGAGCACATAACCTGGTCCCACAGGTTAGGAGAGAAAGTGGCAAAAGCAGTATCCAACTGGATCTATGAGAGGAATTTGGGGAGGAAAAATGTGATCACTCAATTGGATCCAATCCGGGACTCAACGCTTTAAAACCTTCCAGCTGAAATGTGCCACAGCCACTTAAGGACCTCGTGCAGAAACATAAATGTTATGTTTCCACCAAAAGATGGACTGTGGGACACTTTTCCTCCTCCACACTTTGCTGGGTTTCTGTATCAGGAATCACTGCGGGGGACATGCTCAATAAAAAAAACCTACTTTGAGAGTGCCAGAGTGTTCTTACCTTGATCTCCTCCCAACCTGCCTTTGCTTAGTGCATCTGAGCTGCAAGAAATAATAGGAGAAACTCTATTAAGAAGTATAAATGCTGCCTTCTAAATGGGGCAACAGCTGCAATGGGTGTTCACAATGACAAAGTCAAACTGGGTTTGAATCTAATAAAGTGCAACTGAAGTGTGGTGGCTGATCTTCAGCCTATAACTAGACCTGGAAGAAGAGGAGGTGTAAGGTACCTGAAGCCATAGTTGGTTTCAGATAGTCAAAAGTCAATAAAGCAATCTGGCTCAAACCAGTTCTGTTTAGTTCTCATTTCCATAAGTATTTAATTAATCTGCAAAATAATAAAAAAAAAATGCCCAAAGAAACTATTGCAGATCTTGTACTGACATGATTTCTTCAGATCTGCAAATGAAATGGCAGCAACTGTATGTCAAGCCTAGGTGAAAACAAATCTGAAACATCGGTGGAGAAGGAGAAAGAAGGCTTTCATAGGAGCAAGGCTCCAGCTGAGCTTCCCTCCCTGAGCTCCCTTGCTCAGCTTGTTGTGTATCTGCTGATTATCAGTGCCAAAATCTGCTGTGCCTGCACAAATTTTGTTGTAGCTTCAAGTAAATGATTTCAGTAAATTAGACGTGATCTGTCTAGTGTTCTCCATGTCACTTTGCCCGTACTTTACTATTAAAAGAATTTGTATTCCTCTATTTTGGAATGTTATCAACATTTTGCTAGTTTTAAATTTTCACTGTTCGGTGAACTTTGGTGTAGACAGAACACAAATAAATTGATGCAATTATTAAAGGGTGCTTTTGGCGCCTGG